AGAATAGGATAAGAAAGATCAAAGATCAAAGAAATGTATGGAGAGGAAATTTTTGTTTAAAATAATATTTTTAATTTCTAATAAAATTAAAAATTTACTTAAAATGACAGTTCATTCTGAGACGAAAAAACACACAAAAAACGCTAATGGTAAAACTAATCATTTTTATTAATATAAAAAATTCATACTTTCAATTGGACTACTTTTGAATTTGTTCAGTTCAGGGCCATTATTAATTCTACCATATCTTTTTTAACAGAGAAATTATGAAAATCGTTTTCCGTAAATAGAAAAACCCCATTCGTCATTATTTCGTGCACCCTTGATATTTTGCGAACACTCCCTTCAAAATGACCTTGAAGTGGATTGACCCTGTATCCGATCCTTAATATTTTCTCCATGAATGCTGCAGCCCATAAAAATACCTCTATTCAAACTTGAATGGGTAAAATTAACATGCTGGCAATTTGTCATTTGTCTATAGAAGCAGAAATAGAAGGGATTACTGCCCCTACTAAAGGGGTGCCAAGGTTATGTATAGTTGTCGGCGAATATATCAATACAATGAAAAAAACTTTCATTTAAAACATGCATTATTTGAATTACAAGTGTACAAGTAAGCAAATAGAACATTTTAATTAACAACTTTGTTAACATGTTTATGTGTGTCTGCTGTTAAAAAGATTGCTAGCAATCAAAATAGAAATGTAAAGTCGTCTTCGTTGTATTGATATATACGACGATGACTGTACTAAATATGTATTTGTAATTGTGAACAAATTGTCTTATTTAAATGATTGGAATACTTTTTAGCATTCCGGTTCGAAAATGTCTTGAAATGCTTTCGATAGCTCGACAGTTCGATAGTTCGATAGTTCGATAGTTTGATAGTTCGATAGTTCGATATTTCGATAGTTCGATAGTTCGATAGTTCGATAGTTCGAAATGACAAAATTGAAGGATTTCTTCAAACTTTTTAGTTAACTTTTGTATTAAATTAATGCACAGAAGCCATCTGCCTGGATACCTGAAAGAATGGCAAAAATAGGAATTTCTTTATTTTAAAAAAAATCCTGCATAGGAAAGATGACGTTTCTAAATCTGTTTTTATTAAAACTTTCTCCTCAACCACACACTTTATCCTTAAGTATTTAAGGCATTCCTTCTTGAATAGCGGTGCTGTAAAAATGTCGTATTTTAGAGAAACAACTCGAACCCCATACTTACTTAAACCAAAGAATCATCAATATATTTCATCTAAGGTTTTTTCTTTCTTCTCTTCTTCCTCTCTCCTCCCGAAGGTCGAATTTTTTCCTTTTTTCCCTCCTTTTTCTCTTTTACTTTCCTTTCAAATCATTTACCTTCTTCTCCTCGTTTTCCTCTCGCCTCCCTCAGGTCGACTTTTTTTCCTTTTTTCTCCGTTTTCTATTCAACTTTCCCCTCTTCTTTCCTTCCTAATAATTTAGGTTTTTCTCCTCCTTCTCCTCCTCTTCCTCTTCACCTCTCCTTCAAAGGTTCACCTCTTGTTTCTCCTTTTCCTCATCTACTTTCCTTTCTTCTTCCCTGTCTCATCATTTTTCTCCTCCTTTCTTTCTTTTCCTCCTCCTCCTTCTCCTCTTTTCTTTCTTTTCCTCCTCCTCCTTCTCCTCCTTTCTTTCTTTTCCTCCTCCTCCTTCTCCTCCTTTCTTTCTTTTCCTACTCCTNCCCCCCTCCTCCACCTCATCCTCCTCCAGATGTAAGACCAGATAGTCCGGTATGCAAGGAATGCTTCTGTCCATCATCTTATAGTTATATACTCCTACCTATCTATCTATCTGTTCTCCTCTACCCTATCTCTCTATCTCTCTCTATCCTATCTATCTATCTATCTGTTCTCCTTTATCCTATCTATCTATCCTTCTCTATTCTGTCTATAAATCTATCTGTTCTCCTGTATCCTATCTGCTTATTCCATCTCGCTTTAGCCAAATATTATCTGAACTACCACTCCATCTGATAGATTATCAGTTCCCACAGTTTACCTAACTATTTACAATCATAATAGATAGGTTCTTATGTTGGCGCAACTAGGGGGTGCAGGTTGGGGGGGGGAGGTACGGATGAAGGAGAAGTTAAAGCATATTTCTTCATTTTTTCTTTTGAAAATATACAACAAAACGAATAAAAAATGATGGTATGGATGGTTCCGGAAGGCAACATCAAAACGCCTGGAACTATTTTTAAAACTTGCGAGTAGTTAAAAAAAAAACAATTTAGGGAGCTTACATTAACATTCAACATGTCGGTTAACATTTTTTAAAACGTGTTTATTATTTGTCAACAATATTTTAGAGATTTCATGTTTGGTTTAAACTTGATGATATACTTTAAAAAAAATTTGAGGAGCTGAAATAGCGAATAAAATGGGTCTGTGCCAAGACTTCTATGTCACTTCTGATGTCTTATATACGGCCTATTTGCTTCCATTTTCTGCTTGCAATCTTCCTAAAAAGTAACCAATTCAACAGCTTTTTTTGTTTTCTTCCGTATCTAAATGAATCCATCACAAATTTAGAAATACTAATTTTACTGATTTTTTTTTTTACTGATTTTGTTTTTTGTTTTCTTCCGTATCTAAATGAATCCATCACAAATTTAGAAATACTAATTTTACTGATTTTATTGAACTTTCGGTTCTTTATTATACCTAAAAGATGTTTCTGACAGCTTCAATTACTCTGCAAGGGTTTCCATCAATTAAAAAAAATTATTCCCTTTTTGGAAATGGAAAAATCAGGAACATATTTTCATTCAACATGGAGTTCCAGGAAAATTCCGAATAAAATGGAATCCGGAAACTTCAAGTTTACGACATGTTATTTCCATATTCCATTTCGTAAACTGTAAAATTCAGAAACAATTTGAATTACAGTAAGATAGACTTAGTTTTAGGGAACAGTCCCTTTAAGCCCACAGTTTCCGCCCCCCTCCCTCATCGTACTTACTCCCAGGTAGTTTCAGCATCCCATCTCAACCCCACTCCTCCTTACTCCCTCTAATATTATCCCCCCTCCTTGAATCCCTCTTCTTCCTGAAATCCATTATATATTTATTGATCTAGGGTATGTGTGTAGTATTTGGTAAATATTCTCGGGGTGTTTGTCACAGATTTCAGAATAGATAATGGTTTAAACAATAATATGTTGTGGAGTATGTATATGTAGGTTGAGGGGGGAATTCATTTATCCCAAAGGGGGAGGAGGGGAGGGGGGGGGTAGTATTTATTCATTTATCTGATTTATCCCGAGGGGGGGGGCCGGGGTTTATTATTTATCTATGGTAGAGGGGGGTTATATTTTTGATGATTATGCATTCAATGATTAAGAACCCAATAAGACATTGACAGATCAATCAAACACTGGCTGTTTTAATAACAATAATTATTCCTCATCGAATGTTTTTTTTTGTTTGAAGGCCAACATTCACTTTAGATCCCTTTACTGTCTTCATGAGAGAAATAACAAGCGTAATTTTCTTTTAAAAGTAGGGTGTCCACGAACATAAGGTTTTTATTTAATTTTAGAAATTAATAAACATATTCCTTTTGAACACTGTATTTCCGCCTTCCAAAAAGAATCCGAATAGGCTAAGCGAATAGGCTGTTTAGTTTACCATGAACGGTCCCTTTAATTTTTCTAAATTTTTGTATTAGTCCCGACCCGAAAATCCCAATTTAGATTCATAAACGAGTAGATTAAAGACGCTCTGAATGTCGTAGTAAATGGGAGCATCCGTAAATTATCACAGAAAATACGATTTTGTGCCCACGTAGCTTCTCGAGCTTCGATAATACGCACAATTCTCGGAGGAGAGAAAATATATACGGTGTTACATATTTGAGGTTCAAAATATTTTTCTTCTTCTTAATATGAGTTCATTTCATTTCATTTCATTTCATAAGAGGAGTTATGATTGAAAAAATATAAAATATCAATCTGACGTGCAATTTACTTTAGTTTGACGTGAATAGATTGTGTTTGGAGGGTGGTGGAGCACCCTCCCACACACCACCACCACCATCCTTGTGTGAAGTGGTGTGGAGTATTTATTAATATTGAGATAACTTAAACCATTTTTGTTAAGAGTTAAAGGTTTCAGGAGTAAAATTTTTTTTGTTGTAAAAAACACCTTTATACTTGACTTATCTATATCTATATAAAGTTAAAAATAGTAATTTCTTTTGTTTGTTTGTTTGTTTGTTTATGCCAGATCTCATATCTCCGGCTCATGTTTCCAGGCAAAGCTGGGTTACCAAGCAAGTTCAATTTATTGACGAAACTAATCGTGTATTTTTTAGACCTAACATGCCAGCCACTAGGGAAGGTATTCATTGAACCGAAGTTTTTGCTGAAAGGTGCTGCTGATGCTTCTTTCCCTGTATCAGGACTCTCTTGCTCCGGAAATATAAATATCATTCTTATTTTATGTTTATATTTTGTGTTTGCAAAGATACAAAGTTTACGAGTAACAACAATAAAAAAGAAATATATCTTTGGTAAACATATATTATAAAAATGGTTGTCAAAATTCAATGATAATCAAAGAGCGCGGTATGTAAATCAGTTTTAGAAATTCGAGTTTAATTTTGTGTATCAATAGTAATAAAATTTAGAAGAAACTCCGAAAAATCAATTTCCAGAAAAGAATAATTTTGGAAAGACAAATTTCGGACGGGAAAAAATTCCTGTCAGCATTTAAAAATAATATTTCTGCTGGATAGGCTATCTGAGGACTAGGCGTCCTGGCAGGCCATACAAGAGACGAACGCTGCGGTTAGGGCAGCGTTCGAAAATTTCTGATTTTCCCCCGAATTAGTATTTTTCGAATTTTATCTCTCCGTCCTTTGTCTTTCTGAACATTTTGGAAGACTCCAAATATGCAAAATTTTAAAAATACCATTTTTAGAATTGTTTCAATGATTAATTCTGACTTTTTTCAGACACCATAGAGTACATTTTAAGTAGATTAAACATATATTAACATATATTAATAAACAGTGCATATATATACAAATGTTTGAATATAATATCATCACATTAAGAGTTGAGCCAAAAGTTTTAGCCAAAGTTACTAATTAAGTTAGCTGTTTACCCAGACTTAAAATCAGTATCTACTAAAATTGTGTATTTGCGTCATAAAAAGGTTTTTTTATTCCACAAGGGGACTAGGGGACTGCAGTTGATGTACTTCAAGTGACCCTAAGATTAAAGCATTACCGGCCCGATTCAAAATTTTCATCCTTGTCTCTTCTGCATAAATCCGCAATTCATTCTAGCTAATAAACTGCAATTTAAAAAATTAATTTTCAGATAGAAATTCAAGAAAAACTCTATCATGGTTGGTATGACATATTCTTAAAGGGTACCGTTGTTCATCGAACATATATAATTTAAAAAAAAGGCTCACTAATAAGTACACAGCGAGTTCCATTAAGTATAATATAGTTTCCAAATAAATTACTCAACTCAAAGACCTATAGGGTTTCCAGTCAGTGATGCACGAGCATTATGCGAAATTACGCGTGTATTACGTGAATGAACGAAAGTCTAGTTTCGCGAATTTAAAGCGTATTTACGTAAAATTATGTAATACGAAATCGATCAGTTTATAACGTATCATTTCTTTAAATGTATTTCAATCATTTAACATTAAGGTTTTAGGGCGTTTTGCCACCGGGGCCCCCTTTTAATGACCCAGAAAAATGTATATCTTGAAATAGCTAAAATAAAGAATTTTTTAACAATACCTTTTTTGTGAAAATCGAATAAAAACTGTTTCTTCAGAACCCAATACCCTTACTGGAAAGGTTTTTTTAGGACACCCTGTATAAAATAACGCGTAACTCTGCGAAATTGAAATAATTTTGCGTAACTACAAGTAATTTCAATTGTAAGTAAAATCGTAATTACGTTGGAAACCGAACTTAAATCATATTTGGCTTAAACTCTCGCCTCTCTGGAGGGAATTTATTACATTTAGAATTACTAATATATATAATATGTACAATTTTTCTCATGATACATCCTAGCTTTAACAGCCAAATCCAACATTAGATTGGAACTTTCATCAGTTTTTTTTTTCATTTTCGGTGATGAACATATATTTTTAATTCAATATTCTAGTGTAAAATTACAATTATGACATTTAATTTTGTGATTGTTTTAAAACACTTTCCACTATAAGGAAATTTCAAATGTGCAAAACTAGAAAATCCTTTTTCGGAACTAACTAAAAAGAGTTTAAGGGCTGAACGCATACGTAAATCAAACCAAATCTGATTAAAGGGACTGTAAGTGTAATTTTAAGTGACACTCCAGTTTTAAACCAAGGATATTCCTTTCTTATCGTTCAGAGTCGCTTAAAAGTACACTTACAGGCCCTGTAAGTAGAACTGCCCGCCACGCATGGATACCAAAATGTTTAGCTTCTTGGAAGTTGGAAAGCCTTTGACAAAAAGAAGCAAGTACAAATCTGGTATTGTCCATTTGTAACGACCCTAATTGCAAGTGAAAAACATATCTTTTAATATTGCTTCGTATGTCGCGCTTTCTCTATCTTTAAATTCAAAATAGATAGTATAATAACACAAGATAACTTTAACAATTTGCAATGCAAACTTTTTAGTTCGTACTGCAAATATTTGCAAATTCTAATGTCTCATCATTATTAAACTTTACTGCTTTGTTTGCAGAATGATTTTAAAAATAAAAACTGCAATAAATGCATTTCCTGGCAAATATTTTATGAAGTAATATTTATGAAGCATTGCCATTTTGAAATTCTGCTCAGAAAGTTTACGTGAAAAAAGCTTATGCCATGTTTTTTTTCTGGTAGAAAATATGTGAAAATCGTATGCTTGAAAGCTCTGCTTGTGGGACACTTTAAATTAAATCTGAAGTTAATCGGAATGTGCGCGCATTTTGCATGCAAATATTTGTTTGTGTCGCAATTTTGGCGCTTCATTGCGCGCAAAAATTCGGATCAAATTCTGGGGCGCAAGCAATATACATGACTGGCACGGTATAATTGGTAGGCAATTTTCGTATGATTGCACAAATGTTTGCGGAATTTCCGCACAAATAGCAATTAGATATTCGTGAAAAATGGACAGTAAATGTTAGATAAAGTTGGAAGGGAAAACCTGTTTTTAAACTTTTAAAACATGTCATCTAAATCCTCTTCAATATCAGCAATATCTTCGTAACCTTCCTCTTCTTCTTCATGCTGTTGATCTCCATGTCCTTCTTGTCCCTGGTGACCTCCCTGATGACCCCCCTGGGGACCCCCCTCCTTGTCTTGGAGAACCTTGACACGAGGGAAGGTAGAGCTGGCCACAACGTTGTTTACATATAAAGTAACTAAACAAAAGTTTCATGTAAAATTAAATATCAGAATTTAAATGGAAGTAATCTAGTTAATTTTGTTTTTATATTGCGGAGATATTATGAAATCAATTATGGGTCAATTCTTTCATAGTTTCAAGGATTTAATTTAAATCATTTTGTTAAAATTTTAAGCTCATGATAAGATTCTTTCTTAGATTCTCTTTTTCTCAAACCAATATGAACAAAGTGAAACAGTTTTTAATAGGTACAAACGTTTATTTTCGAATGAGATATAGAATAGACAAAAAATTAATCTTTTTTAATCTGTTTGTTTGAAGATTGTAAAAAGTTGTAAAACAACATTTTAAAAAGGTTTATTTATGTTCAAAAGAAAATGTGGTTAGCGTGTCTAAACGAAAAAGTAAAATGTACTTTGTTTATTATAAACAATATAAACATGTTTATTTTTTCTACTTTTATACCTATCATTTTCTCGTCGTCTACATATCTCCGTAGGGTCGTGTTAACTTTACCAATCTGAAATAAAAACAATGTATCAAAAGGTTTTATTGTTAGTTTTGTAAATTTTCGTTTCGTGGCTGAAATTTCAGTTGATGTTACTTTGTTTTCAGCTCGGGTGCAGGTACTTTCATTTTTTTTAGCTGGCACTTTGATTTTTAGTTTTGCTGCTGTCATTTTTTAAGCGCAAATATAAAAATATATCTTTAAAAATCTTATATAATCTTTCTGTTTCCGGGATTAGCATTCAAGAGAAATTTTATAGAAGAATTTTGTGAATTTCGGTAGATTATGCAGTCTCAGAAAAATAATTAATTAAAATATATAGAACTTTTCACACTTACAGACTGCACTGATTCATTCTCAAAAAAAACAATGAAAGATGCAAAGAGGATGTATGCTCACAACGCGCTCTTAGCCTGAAGACTCGGGAGAATGTATAAAGAGCTGCTAAAGTGTTCACAAATTCTTCTTATGTCTGGCGAACTTCCTCAGGTTTACCTGGTGTTCCAATAGAGTATTGTCGTCTTTCTCCGGTTTACCTGGTGTTCCAATACAGTACTGTCGTCTTCCTCCGGTTTACCTGGTGTTCCAATAGAGTATTGTCGTCTTCCTCCGGTTTACCTGGTGTTCCAATAGAGTATTGTCGTCTTCCTCCGGTTTACCTGGTGTTCCAATAGAGTATTGTCGTCTTCCTCCGGTTTACCTGGTGTTCCAATAGAGTATTGTCGTCTTCCTCCGGTTTACCTGGTGTTCCAATAGAGTATTGTCGTCTTCCAACGTAAAAATAGATTTGGTAACCCGGCCATCCATTGTGAGATCATCAACCTTTAATAATTGAATTAGTATTACACCCTTTAGAGCAATGTTTTTTTCAGTTTGGTAGCCTTCTGAAAATAAACTTTCAATAACAAAGCTTACAACTTACAGGGTGACCACTCATAAAGGATGAGACTGTAAAAACGACGTAAAACTCTTCAAATAAAGTCGTCTATCTGGAATGTGGTCTTTAAATGACGAATTTAATAATTTGGCAAAGAGAGAACAGTTAATTGTTCCAGAGGAAACAGAAAGATTAAATTCTATACAGTCGTCTCCGAAATATTATAATATCTGGGTCGATATGACTTCTTGCAATAAATTGCTGAATTATTTTAAAACCTTTGAGTGCAACTTAAAACAATAATCAGAAAAAAAACTAATACAGAAGTAATTTCCAAAGTGTGGTCTGCCCGTCTGTCTGTTTAATGCTTTTGATAATTATTGGAATTATTAAAAATATTGTTTAGATTTAAACTTATGAAAGAAGTCCATATTGTCTGAAATAAATACCTTTGCTTTTTAAAACTAAATAGAAGTTATGCTTTGTGAATGAAAGATCAGAGACGATCTTCAAAATTGTCTTTACTCGGACACTTCTCTTAGATCTACTCACAGGGATCCAAAATCGATACGAATTTTACGCAAAAATTGATGAGAATTTCACCAATAACTACTGACAATTTTATAGTTCTAAAATGTCTACAAAAAAGTATAATTGAGTTTGTGAGTTAACTCAAAGGTTAGGATACTTAAAAGTCGACACATGATCTTAATAATTGATGCAACTTTTCATATCAGTCTTGATCTACAGTAGACACATGATCTTAATAATTGATGCAACTTTTCATCTCAGTCTTGATCTATAACAGTAGACACATTATCTTAATAATTGATGCAACTTTTCATATCAGTCTTGATCTACAGTAAAAACCAGAAAACTGTGGAATTGGGTCTGTTTACACTACACAATTGCTATGTCTCATGTTTCTTGGACGGGTTAAAGTTATTTCTAAAAGTCAGCTTCCTATTCCAGAATTTTCTGGTTCTGACTGTATGTGTTTGTGTACTCACCAGTTCTCCTAATTTGAATTTAATACTATGAGTCTTGAACGGTGTTTCTGTAAATATACTCCAGGTACAGTTGCTTGTACTGTCAGCTGTACATCTCCTGTACATAAATATATATTACTGTACTGTCTACTGTCACATAAATTTCACTAAAGGAGATTATTCGTTTAGCTGAATGTCGCGCTTACCTTACTTAGTCTGTATTTGTACTGGTCAGCCTGTTTTACCTGCTTAACATTCGGACCGGTATAGTACTTGAAATGTTTACAGTGCTGTACATACATATTATGTTCATTTCATGTACCGGGCCGAATTTTAACTAGTCAGGGCATGCGGTACCAAACAAATACAGACGATTTGAGGCAAAACGCGACTGTACGCCGTCGCCAAATGATTGATCCCCTTCTAGAGAAAGTTATGTGATATATTAATTCTATTGTATACTATATATAAGCTGTATCTACTGAAAACTTTATATAAATATACTAATTGTACTTCTTCTGAACATAAATATTTTGATTACATACATATATAGCAATGTACATGTCTTCTGTACGTTAATTTATTGAGTTTACCGTCTTCTGTACATAAATTTTGTTAGTATTGTGTTCTTTAGGTAAATATATTAATTGTAATGTCTTTTGAAAATAAATATTTTACAATTGTTATATTTTTATATATTTTATACATATTTATATATATATAATAAAACAAGACATTCATATTGATGTTCCCTATAGCCGGCCAAACGGCTGGACCGAATGGGCTGACATTTTTTGTGGACACTCATCGGTAGTCTTTGGGTGACAAAGGCTAAGATAAATAGATTTTTTTTTCAAAATTTATTTATTTTTTCAATTTTTTTTCACGGGAAACGCCGAGCCCTTGCTAGCTAGTATATTATATACCTGTCTATGGTTACTGTAGGTTTTGCTAAAAAAGCTAGATTTCTAAGTATAAAGTTGATATATATATATATATATATACCTATCTATAGTTACTGTAGGTTTAGCTAAAGAAGCTAGATTTCTAAGTATAAAGTTGACCCCAAGCTCAGCCAAATATGCGTCAAAATTCTCTGAAGAACCTAAATATTAAGATTTAAATTTGTCTATAGAAAAATTAAAAATTCATTATTTTTGAAAATTCTTCAATTTATACAGAAAGATCCGCAAAATATGAGTCAATGAGAAAAGTTACATCTTAAATAATTCAAAGGTTATCAGCTAAAATTGTTCCGAGAAAAGGGGCGCAAAGCACTCTGGAAGCCTACTCACGCAAATCTGCCCCTTTAGTAAAAGTAAATTCAACCTATATGAAGCATAAAGTCTGACCGCGCCAACCTTGTTGCACCGCCTAGTCCTGTCCATAGAGCAAAGGTACAGTACAAACTGGGAACGGAAAGGTTGACCCGGCTCGGAAATTCAAATGTACTATGGCTGCCCGTGTAGTGTTATACAGAATAAATGTTGAGAAAACCAGTGAATTTTTCAGAAAAAAAAACAATACCTAGATAAAACGTTCCTTCAATGATACTTGTTGAATTGGATCCAACTCTTGCCTCTGAAAAAAAGTTGCTCAAAACATGCACAGAGTTAAATAAACCAAGGAGTATGAGATAGAAGGGAGATACAACTGACGCGGACCACCCTTCTATATGATTATACATACATGCTTCGCAGACGGAACTCTATTTGTATATGTACAATTACCGCGTATAACATAACCTTTTCTGAATAGTTCTTATACAAATGGAGTACCCGTATGCAAAGCATAAATATTCATATGGTAGGGCGGGCCACGGCAGTTGTATCTCCCTTCTATTTCATACTCCTTGGTATAGATAACTCTGTGCATGTTTTTTGCAACAATGGACATTTTTGACTGAACTAATTTAAAATAATCTGAAGAAGACATATTTTTCCAAAGTCGCATTAACATTCTTTAGCCTTGACGATATTGCCAATCTCTCACCAGTTAAAGTTTAACAGATTGACCACTAGAAGATTGATTTATTCTAAATCAGCTGATATTTTTAGTATAAAAAAATCAATAAACAAAGAATAGAAATACAGTTACATTTTGTTTATTTTAAGAAACCTTTGGTCTTGATACAATCTCTTATTTTAATCTCTTTATCTTTGCAACCTGATGGCGTAAACTTTTTAGATTTCAAACTTTAAAAATGCAATCTATTAGATTATCAAAGATTCACAGCAATATTGGTTGCAAATATTTATTAGTTATTGCAAAACTAGAACTTTTGGAGATTATTTAGTTCCTTTCTAAAGGAATTATTTCTTTGCCACAAATTCAAATTTTCTAATCTCTAAATCTTTGCAACCAGATGGCGTAACCTTTAATATTTTAAACTTAGATTATTTGATCTAACAGAATTCATAGTTTGAAATATCAAAGGTAGGGTAGTACAGATATATGGATTAATTCTCTTAAGTTGGTCATTTTTTTTACCTTGAAGCTTAGTTGATTTGCCAAGGAAAAGCACGAGAAGAGAACGCAGGATTAGAGCAAAAATATCCTTAGACAGGACAGAGGAACTGAAGGGACAACATTTTAAAAAACATCAGAATATTTATGACTAAAATTTATGATATCTCAATTTACAATAAGAATGATTTTATATCGAAAAAAATCAAAATGAATAATGATCTTAGAAATAATCTTAGAAATGAGTAAAATAACTATTATACAATTCTGATGATATTGTTTTTTTTTTCATAAAAAAATTAAATATAACTTTTATTGAAGTAAAAATGCTTTTTTATATAAATAGCTAAAAGAATTATCAAGTTCTTTAAAATATGTAAAATAACTAGAACACAGAAGATGATATTGATATTTATAATAAGAATGATTTTAATATCTATAAAATAGTAATGAAAGTTTGATAGCAGTAATGAAAAGGATTTTATCAACATCTACTATTATTTCAAAATAAAAAATCAAATTGTCTCAAAATGTTGGTTTCCTTATTAGCAGTGTGAACAGCATATTGGTAATTTATTAAATGTCAGCTGTACAGAGCTTTGACTTTCATTTTTTCCCGCCAAAAATATCGTCGTTAATTTTTTCGAGGATTTTACATTATATCTGAAATCTTAGAAATAATTTTTAGATTGTCAAGGTAAAGCTTTAAATTACATAAAGATTACATGATTCTTAAAGTCAGTTTAATCCACCTAAATCACTCTTCAGTTTAGACTTTTTTTTAAATTATTGAGATAATTTCTTTAATTTTGAAAAGTGAATCAAAACTGAATATGTTTTGTTGTGAAATAGACTTACTCCACTTCCTTCCAAATGAACTGGGGTTGAACGACTGCATCGTAAAATGCACTTTTTATCTTAATCTATGCAGAATTATAAAAACCTTGCAAATTTTTCAACCAAAACAAGATTTACCTTATTGTATAATGATGTACACAATCTTCCACCCGAACAATTTTGCTAAAGGGCATGCTCGTTGTGTGCATCTGAGGGATTATGAAATAAGCTTTAACTCTTCAGTTTTCTTACTCTATGACTAGAGCTCTCAAACTTCTTAACATTACGTATTTTATATTTGTTAAAAATAAAAGATTTTGTTTCATACATTTCTTGGAGGTTTTCAAAGCACGTTTTTAAAACCTTCTTAGCATTTAACCCTATTCCTGCTTTGGTCTGTAGTATTTTTTTACATGACTCAAAAGTATTGGTCTGAGGCTGTTGAAATTTTCTTCAAAATACTTAAAGCCCTCCCTGTAGGTCTAAGACCGGGCTTTTATACTTACTGCCTGAGTCCTCAGGCAATCTGCCTGAATGACTACTTTTTCCTGTAACAAACTATAAACATTTGCTTTTACATACTTTCAAATGTCAGATTTTGAAATTTTTTTGCTTTTTGGAAAGCATAACATAAGAAAACGGATTGCACAAGTTTTGCAAAGAATTTTTTGCAAAGTATTTGCAAACAACCCGTCAAAAGAAATTCGCACATTTTTAGTTTTCTTAATTATCAGATTATTTAAAATTCAAGGGCTTTTCAAAAATGTATATTTTATCATTTCTTTTGCAAACATTTTATTATATAACTGGATTTTGCAAAAAAAAAATCGCAAATTTGCAAAGTAGAGCATAAGAGCCTTTAACGATGTATCATTTGTCATATTTGGACATCAAACATACGATGATGGGATTTAAGGGGGGGGGGGTCCCAACGTTTCCTGGTTGTCATGTACCCCAGCAGGGATAGGGTTAAATTATTCAGGTGAGTGGTCTAAAAAAATAATTAGGTCTTTAACATTAGACTTTTGCCATAACTTTATTTCAACTCTAAGGACAACATTATCCCAAACGTGATAGTGTTAAAACCAATAAAGGTTTCTAAAATTTAAAAAAATTACACTTTAAAATAATATTTTAATATTTAAAAGAAACTGTAAACGTAATTTCAAGTGACTATCCTTGTAAAAAGATAGAAATGTTAGGTTGACACCGGTAGCATTGAAACCTTAATCTGATAAAACATGGTGAAGATACTGTCGGTTTTTTTTAATATGGAGAGCGTTTATTTATCTTCCTTTCTCCATTGTTTCTGATAAGCAAGAAGTGTGAAAGTCAAATGGAATTTACTTGATCAGACAAAGCTTTCAACAGTACCGTTGTAAATTGGGCATTGCATTGTGTCCAAATAAACATGGGAATTCAGTGACGAATTAGATATCGTCTTTTTAGATACTTCTTTAATTTAGTATAGTGATACCTACTGCGAAAGCCGTAATCTGTAAGAGTTTCATGATCATCTGCTATATTCACATTTTGCTTGTTTATGTTTTGACTGCATAAGGGTGTACTTAGTAAAACAAGAAAATTGCAGTACAGAAACAGAGTAAACTTAAGTCCGTCTTCACTGTTTATCTTGCGGAGAAATTATGGACACATCTTTTCAGTCTTTTACCCTTTTCATGAAATAAACTCTAGCAGACATGGCTTTTGAAATTAGGTATCACAATGCTAATTCATAACAAGGACGATATCCAATTCGTCATTGAATTCCCATGTTTTTGGGACACCCTGTATCTTAACATGGAGGGTCATTTGGCATTAAGTTTACTGTCCCTTGAAACACATATAATTTGAGTATCAGTTTAAAAACAATAAGCAATTTTGAATGATCGCATTTCTCAGTCTGTGACGTCGTAGCGTGTTTCTAGACTTTAAAAACTCGATTCAAAAACACATTGAAATTGGAACTAAGGTTTGCAGCGACGAAAACGTGTCGCAAAAAAATGCGAATATTTTTGTTTGTATTTTGAAAACTTTTTCACGAAATTTCGCATTATTTCTCGAAAAAAAGGAAAATTTTCTCGAGCGACCGAAATGCGAAAAATGCCAAAGTTTTATAGAATTTTTTTTTTCTTGAAACGATTTTTAATTTTCGCTTCAAACCCTAGTTGGAACTTGTATGCCTGTGCAAGAACTGAAGTTAACTGTTGAACCTAAAACAAAAACTGAAACTAACCCCTCTGCATGGAAAAACCAAACCAAAATCTCCAAGTCATCTAGGGTAAAGGAAAAAAGGAAAACACAGAGAGCGTCTTGTGAGAGAGAGAGAGAAAAGGGGGGGGGGTAAATGCGAATATAAAATTTGCTTTGCAAGTCACCGACAGTTCCGGTTTTCAGAAAGGGTTTGAGATGATAAAGTACGAGTCTTACATAGTATTGTATTGTGGGCTCGACTTTCTAGTTTTAATCTTTAATGTTTGCTTCTTTTCCGTACATTTTAGAATAAGATGAAAATTTTGCGGATTTTCAGACTTTTCTTCAATAATTCTTAATATCAGAAAAAATTATTTTAAAAGTTTTACTTTAAATCAAAATATCATTAAAGAAGTCTTAAAATGTCGATTTTTCACTACTTAGACATTTATAATAGTTCATAAAGACGAAAGAATTTTCTTACTTTTTGAAAAAAAAAAGTTCCAGAATAAAATCTATTTTGGAAATGTTTATCAAGCTAAACTAAGTAAAAGAGCCAATGATGTATATTTGTCTAGCAAATATTGGACCTGGCGTTGGAAATTTGTTTGTAAGATTTACAAAAAAAGTTTTTTTTTCTCCAAGTATGAAGAATATTAATTGCCTAGAAACCCCCTCGCTGTTTTTTTGCTCCCCCCCCCCCATGCATACACACACACTTTACATCCTTGCATATGACTTGATAAGGACCGTATAATATATGGCATGATTTAAAACTTTGACAAAATAATAAATATCTAGTTATTTTGATAATCTTATCTATTTTTGAATTCTACGAATTCACGTAAACCTGGTTGTTTAAAAAAGAATGAGAACCACGTTAAATTAAGGTATATTTCACATTAGATTAAAAGCATTATTTGTCCGTTCTGTTTTTCATATGTATCTCATTGTTGTCTCTTCTTTACTTACTTAAGGTCGTTATGTAACTAACCTATATATATAAATTATAAATATTATCATATATATAATATATATAAATATGTTTATGTAATATATGGCTGGAATACATATATAAGATTAGGAGGAACTCGATATTCATTAAGAGGATTACTAGATAACTTACAAACTGAAGAAATATGTAAATAAATGAATGAAGAAAAATAATTGCACAAATATGCAACATTACTGGTATAACTGTGTGACCTCATAGCTCTTTTTTATTTGATTTTACGCATAAATAGCGAATTTATCTGGTTGCTTGTAGAAATTCATAAAAATGTTTTTTATATAATTTTTCTTCAATAATTGGATTTATATGATTGAAAACATGCAAGATTTTATTCTTACGTTTTTCTGCTTTTCAACTCGCTGTCTTTAATCGTATTCTGCAATAAACTAAAACAATTTTGCGGATTTTTAGGCGATTCTTTTCAAAATTGGAACAGTTGATTTGTTATGGTATAGTTGAACTGAGAATGTAGTATTGTGAAAAATTTTGTAGGAATCATTTGAGACCTATGATTGGTTTTACGCTGCACGTTTGTTCAGCAAGAGCGAAAATTCTATTTTTAAAATACTATTTGTTCATTTTTGAGGGATGATTTCTAAAATTGGTTTTTAAAAAAATTTTCAAAAACGACAACGAAACATGCAGTTGAATAACAAAATTTAACATTTATCCTCGTTAAAAAGTAATGTTATTCAGATATTGGTTTATGTTATGTCTCAATGTTTGCAAACATTTTCTGTAGATTTTCTGGAATATTTATTGAAAAGACGACACTCGAAGATATCTGCGAACAAATTCATACAGAAATTAAATATAATGATGAAAACAAATAATTGATTCTAACTATTAAGAAAATACCAATTTAGAAATATGTTCCTAAACATCTAATTACTTTACCGTTGAATTTGTTGTTACATTTTTTGTCGTCGTTATTTAATAATTTGAAAAAAATCGATTCTTAAAACTTAACCACCCAAATGGATGATTTTGAACATCGACTCAAGGGAATCCTAATAAATTTCTCCCAATACTACATTCTCAGTTCAACTACCATACATTGCCGGTCCCTCCCTTAAACCGTCCCTGAACATTCATTGGGGTCATTCTCCATCAGCGATGTTAAAGAATATTAAAAAAGAAAGAAAAAACCTAAATGCAACGATTCTTACATAATTCCGATAGACTACGCAGCATAAAGTCAATTGTTAAAATTATAAAATCGTATAAATTATCTGAATTATAAAAGTCTCGTAGTATCCGGCTGCACAAAGCGTGATTCGGGATTTTGCAGACAAAATAATGCTTTCTCATGATATTTAGTTTTCCGAGAATTTGTCATGACAGAGAGTACGTATATTAACTCTTTAGCTGATCTATAACACTAATTTGAAAATAAAAATCAATGAAAACTCTTTCAAAAATGTTTTTTTTAAATTTAAAAGATCGGTGTGAATTTGGTACTCCAATGGCCGAAAAGAAAATCCGCGAACATTTTTTTCTCTCAAAATATATTTATAACTCTAGAATATACTCAGTAGAACTAAAGGATTTAAAGCACTTTTCCTAGAAAATTAGACCAGAACTGAAAATTGCGAATTTTCTTATTACAATTTTGTAAATTTTCTGTT